AGGAATGCTTGGCCATCTCCCATTGAGCTCTGAACTGTCAACATCCCGTCTTTGAACTCCCTCCTAAATGTATCTAAAAGGTTTTCAAACTGATGGTAGGTTGCTTATCACAGGACTATAGTAAGACTAGTCTGTGTGGGGTTTTTAAGATAGGGTCTCGAGTAGGCAAAGCTTGCCTTGAACTCTTGGCCCTCTCACCTCAGCCTTCAAGTGCTAGGCCTCCAGGTGTTCGACACCAGGCCCTGCCAAGAATGTTTTGGTTTATAGGTAAAGAGATGAAATAGCACTGTCCACCGGGAAGCTGAGAAATGATCACAAAGGGAGGAGTTTACGTCTTTGGCTCACACAAAGCAGTTTCTATGGTCACACATCTGTACCCGCGCTTCTGTAGCTCAAGTCGCCCAGGATCTTATCTCCAACCTTCCTCAGCTTCCAGTGTTGCCGTAGCCTCAGGAGCTCAGAGTTGAAGTCTCGCTGGAGCTTGTTTTCCTGGTTCTCAGTCACTGACTTGGTCAGTCTTTCTGCCCCCTTCAGGAGGATTTGAGCTGCTCCAGCAAGGGACTTCTTCTTAGAGATCAGCTGCAGGGTCTGAGGACTCTACCAAAAACAATCCAGAATGTTTTCTAACCAAACCTGGATAATTCTAACCAAATTATTGTAGATAACTTTAAAACTACCGATTTTCTCAAGCAGGAAATTTTGAATTAAAACAAACCAACAAAAACAGAGAGGAAGAAGGATGACGGTTAGCAAAGAGCTTGCCACAAAAGCATAAAGGCCTGCTGAGTTCCAGCCCCAACACCCACATAAACCCTAGCAACGCTATGTGCACCTGTAACCCCAGTCCCAAGGAGGAAGAACAATTCTAGAGGCTTGCTGGCCACTCAATCTAGTCAATTGGTAAATTTTACATTCAGAAAAAGAAACTGACTCAAAAAATCTAGTAATTCAGAGAGCAACTGAGGAAGACACCCAAAGTAACCTCTATCCTCTACTCCCTTCCACACATATGCACAGACACAAATAATACACAAAAATAAAATGAATAAATGTTGACGAAAATGAATAGGTGGTGAAGTAACATATACCAAGAATTTGAAAAAAAAAAAAACCCAAAAAATGAAAAAGAAAAAAAAAACCAAAAAAACTTTTCCCTTGCAAAACCTTTTTTTTTTTAAAGATTTTATTTATTTATTATGTATACAACATTCTGCTTCCATGTATATCTGCACACCAGAAGAGGGCACCAGATCTCATAACGGATGGTTGTGAGCCACCATGTGGTTGCTGGGAATTGAACTCAGTACCTCTGGAAGAACAGTCAGTGCTCTTAACCTCTCAGCCATCTCTCCAGCCCTGCAAAACCTTTTTAAAAACAGAAGTAACCGTTTTTTGGCCAACTTACAAAAAGATCTTAAGTCAAAATCACTACAGTGGCCTAGAAACTAAGACTCAGCAATACACCACCTGGGACAAACCTAGGCCAGGACCCTGTC